GAAGAAAAAAGACGTACTGTAAAAATTAAACATAGAGATACATTTCATTGACCAGAGAAACAAAAAAAGGTAAAGGATCAGAAAGCATACTGCAAGCAAAAACCAGACAACGTGATAATCAAGATCACGAAAGGTTAATCTGATTAGGTTTGCTCAAAAGGCAACACAGAGACAGCGATCCCTCGCGGGTTATGATGAAAAGTGTTTTTCATAAAACCTGAAGATAAGCGCTTGAAACAGTCGTTACCTTTCTCCGTAATGTCCTTTATAAATATAAATTCTAAAGCATCAGTCAAAGTTCACAAAAGAGAAAATGCCTTCAAAGGAAAGTGATAAAATCACATTCCGCGGCTCGTGGACAGAATTACAAAGATAATAAAAATATCTGAAGAGAATGTAAAATTTCTCGCTGCTTTTGTGGTTAATGTAAAAATAGTACGGGACTATAACAAAAGAGATGACATGCAGAAATTGAACTTCGAGACTAAAAACGAGCCTGTACTGAAAGCGAGAGACCTTAATAAATAGACTGTAAAAATAACACGACAGCTTGAATCAAAGCGGAAATAATAAGGCAAAATGATAAGGTTTAAGCATTGGCAGCATAGGATATAAGAGTCGTGTGTCATTTATGCTGACTCTGTGTTTAACTACAAAAGTCAATATGTATTAACGTCACCCTGAAATTCCATATACATTCACTCCACGGCGCAGGAAATACTCGGCTAGTCACACAATAGCCCACATTCCTTATGGAACCCGAAGGTTCATCACCGTGCTCACAAAAGCCCGCCACCGGACTCTATCTTAATCTGCTATGAACATGCAATTACATTTTAATTCAGTTCATTTTTGGATATTTCCATCTGAAACTTTAAGTTATTTTTCATGTTCACAAAATTCTTGACAACATCAAAATGCAATTTAAGACATTTGCCAGTTTCTCGAATATCGTCCATACTGTCCACAAAACTTTGAGTCACATGGCATATCGATATACTTCCCATATCGTCTTTGTTATCGAAAATCATCTTGTATCGATATTTTGCTGAATTTTCCCTTGGGCCTATATATTGCAGTACTCCATAGAGAGTACCGTTCTTTACTGAGAAATATCGATAGAATATTTCACCGTAAGCGAATATGATGTAGCAGTACCTTCGAGCAGGCTTGATGTCTACCAAGCCAGTCATAAATTTTCCCTTGTATTCGTATGTCCATTCTTTGTGCGAATTTGTGAGATGCTTCTTCAAGTCTTGCAGATTTCCACCCCAAGAACAGTTGACTGCAGGCACCTTGAAAATGTCAAAATAATAAGAGCACCTCAGTTGTAGAAAAACATGAGTGTGTGAACTGAAATATCCTCTTGATTGCCCTCACCCCAAAAAAGTTTGTGTCCATTACATAAAAGGGCGGATTTATAACTTGTGTTGGGCAAGGCCGTGGCCTAGGCAACACGGAGTTTTCCTCATTGGCATCCCAACAATTACTCCATTCACACACAGAAGAAGGCAATGGCAAACCACTTCTGGATCATCTGCCAAGAACGTATATGAACAGGTCCCAGTCCGAGAAAAGGATCGAAGGATCCTGTTCATATGGACCTGTCGTCAGACAGAACATTAATAATAATAATAATAAGGGCGATTAAATCGAGGATTAGGTGGGCGAGACATGTGGCACGCATGGGGGAGGGGAGATTGTTTACAGGGTGCTGGTTGGGAGGCCTGAAGGGAGGAGACTGCCGGAAAGACCTCGGCGTAGGTGGGAGGATAACATTAAGATGGACCTGAGGGAGATAGAAATTTATGGAACGAACTGGATGTTGCAGGATTAAGATAGAGTCCGGCGGCGGGCTTTTGTGAACACGGTGATGAACCTTCGGGTTCCATAAGGAATGTGGGATATTCTCGGAGAAGCCGAGTAACAATCGACTTTTAAGAGAATATCTTGCACCAGTGACAGAAATCATAACTCTCGTGACTTACGATATAAATTAAATTAATAAATATTAAAATAAATGAAGAGTTCATTTTATAGAAACTATAAGCCATACCAGGGACAGGAAAACACTGATATGGACTCAAACAATTATGAAGTATTGAAAAAAATAACTTGTAAAACATCAAACAATTACGTTTAATTCATGTATATCATAATAAAGCAGATTTACAAAGATTAATGGACAATATGTTTTATTTTTTCTTAAAGAACTCTGATATAATAAGCACTATGAGCACAAGATATTAATCTAAGCTGATTTGACTAACCAAGACCTGGATAATATAGGCCATTTAGATAGACGACTTTTACAGGACAAAACCAATTCCTGGATATAGATGGTATAAATTACATTAACACACAGTTCGTTTGTTTAATCTCTTGAAAGGGGGTCACTACCTTTGCAGTAAGGTTGATTTTTTGTTTTAAAAACCGCTGAAAGGCAAATCGATGTTACTACTTTACTTTTATTAACACGATTTTTAAATCGTTACGTTGGACGGAGTAAAAGAAAAGTGTATTCGCGATCGTAGAATAAAGCAAGTGAGACTTGCTTATTATCAGAAACATTAAAAAAGAATTTTTGTGATTGTTCTAATGGTTACAAAACATTAAAAATACTCAGAGAAAAATTTCCAACAACGGAAATGGAAAAGAATTATGGCTCAAATTAATGTTTGTTGCATAATTCTTATCCTCTTCTCTCTTGTTCATTATAATGAAGCCTTAAATCTCTAAAATGTTATAGTATCTGAATTAAACGTCGTTTAACCAGAACTCAAATTATAACTTGTATTTCAATCAGCCATGATTTCACTTCTAATTCTCCATTACGTGTTCGTCAAATTGGGCATCTTCTGTGCTTGTTTATTAATGTGATACAGTGCATTACCTTAACTTTATTTGCCGAATAATATGAGATTAAAATCAGTATAAATTAGGTTATTAATAAATGCTTGGTGAAAATATTTTTATGGCACCAACAACAGAGTTAAAAGTGCAGAAACCGCGGCCTTTCACTTCCGAAATGCGATTTTCTGTCACGTTTGTTTATCCACTGTTACCAACTCTTTTACCATCAACTTTCGTGTAACTGGGTTAAAGAGTTTTGTACCTGATAAGTTAGTACATTAATCATCGTTAAATTTATAACGCTTTCTGTACAATTTAGGTCACCATAGACTATAACAAGTTCCCAGTATGCTCGGTCAACCACTGTCAAATTAAATGTAACTGGATATACAGTCTTACATTTACGCAGTTCTGTTATAATTATTCATTCACGACAATTTGTTCTAAGAAGAAGCATATTTTAAAAGAACTACCTATAACACGTACACAGAGAATAATTATCTGCATGGAATAAATTCCTTCTTATGTATGATTTGAGGTTTTCACAGCGGTGAGTATGAAGATTTGTCTTCTGGGCAGTATGACCTCTGAAACGTTGGTAAACATCGACCAGACTACACAGCGCAACAACCCAGAAGACAGAAATCTTCATACTCATCGCCCTGATGACGGAGGCAGTATGACCTCTGAAACGTTGGT